TTTTTATAGTCGTGAAAGAAAAGTGGTTCACAATGTGTTAAAGTATTTGTCGAAGAGAAATACTAAGGGTTCGGACAATATTTTCATTGAATAATGTTTCCGACAAAGGTTGTCAAATTGACTGACATGTTTATCGTATAGTACAGTCCACTATGAAAATTAGCTGTGGTTTGTTTCAACTACCTATTTTAAAAATTTTGTCACTTTCTAAGTGTTGAATTTTATGGGATTGGGAAAGAAGTACCGAGTTTGAAGCGTTCATGAGCAGACATTGCAGTTGAATATTCAAGTTCTGAATTTGATTATTGATGAATAATAAAATAAATCTACTAGCTCGATTGATGGTTTCATTTAATTTATTTAAATCAGGTTACCTATAATAATATTTTTTCGTTAATTTATGAAAATATCAAATTAGCCCGTAATCCTGAATCCTGATACATAAAGTTAGCCTATTAATTTAACACAGGTACGACTGTACTCAGTGTTGCACTATCAAATGCAATTGACGCGCCTCTATGCCAGGGTTTTTATGTTCCTGGTCAGGCTATACATGACGTGACCATACTGAGTAACCGCCCGACTAAACCTAGGTGTCAGCCGAGGCTAACAAAAACTCTGTAATCTGCAGGGGCCAGGGACGCTTACCTTGGTAAACTCTTAAGTTTATTCCATATCTGTGGTTTATTCCATACAGCTTAGATTCGGAATCGCGCCTCGTAATGTCCAATATTTCTAATCTGTGCCAAACAAAGCTTCATTGATCATTCATTCATTCATTCGCTGATTGACGTTTTTTTGGACTTGTTGGTGTTGGATTGTGGTGTTTTTTGGTTGTTTTGCTTTTGCTACGATTATTCCTCATAATATCTAGAGGCTAAACAAATATAACTAACAGCGATGGTTGAAGATGACAATAGAACACTATGGTGTGGCAATTTGCCCGAACAAGTTACAGAAGAATTGCTTTACGAGTTATTCCTTCAGGTATGTCTTGCGTGGGAATTATTTTAATCTATTTTTCAACTTTTCTACCTTTTACTGTCAATATTTAACACATTTTAGGCAGGCCCCTTGGAGAAAGTGAGGATAGCCAGAGATAAAGACGGTCGCCAAAAAAGCTTCGCGTTTATAACATTTTGTCACGAAGTCTCTGTGCCTTACGCCATAGCGTTATTCCGAGGGACAGCGTTGTATCACAAGACGCTGACATTGCAGGGCAGAGGGCGTCCCTCCTTACTGCCTCCGCCGATAAGATGTCAGGGACCAGATCCAAATATAGATTTTTCAGCTGCACAGGCTAACGTCGTCCAACAGTTTGCGGAGATGACTGACAGATTAAAAGAAGAAGAATTCAAACTATCACAGTCTCCTCGCCATGACACAACTGATAAACTAGTTTTAGCTAGTTTACAAGGCAACTGGTCACATAGACACCATCCATACAGATCGGACAAACCACATGGAAGGGATGATTTCAGGTCTAGAGAATTGCACTCTGACAATAGTTATAAAGGAAACAGCCGTAATAGACATTCTAATAGTTGGAGAGATAGAAAAAACCACAAAAAGAACTATAACCATAGGAGAGACTGACTACTATAATATTCAGCAAACTTTTTATATACTTTTGTTTTTCTTTTCCAATATCCACTAACATATCACCCTGAAAGGCAATTAACCTAACTTCATTCTGAAAAACTGATATCAGTTTTATTTAAGTTAAAGTTTTTTAATAGATAAAAACTAGAACTGTCTGCTAGACACTTGGATGTTGCTGGTTCTATTAAGATTTAAATTAATTTATTCTCATCCCAATATCCAAAATTCCATAATTATGAAATTTAAATAGGTATGTATAGGTATTTAATTATATATAAAATCAGAGCACCAAGTCTTTTACTTTTTTATCTATTTAATATTTTTTGACTTGCTAAAGCAGGGTAATAGCAAATGTGATTGTAGTTAAATAAAGTTAGTGGATATGAAATTTTAATATAAATATTAATGTTGGTAGTGACCAGCATCCAGGCCCTTCCTGCTACCTTAATGAGGTGGTCTGTCTAGCTACTGGGTGCGAGTGCTACACTGCCAGAACAGAACCTTACTGCCCCATCAGCCATCAGCTATGTGACCTATCCAATTATCCATTGTAATTTCCATTTGTTAAACCCTTGACTATGTCAGAATTTTTAATTCGGTTATAAGTTTTAAATTCAATTTTGAAATTGTATTTTTGATAAAATAAAACTGTGTGTTAGAAAGAAAACAAAACTTTATCAAAAACTTGTGCAATGTTACAAAATTTTCACATTATTGTAAATAGTACATACAATATTAAAGCTCCTTTTAATTTTAGTTAGTGTCCTTCATTTAACAAAATGCCTACTTCATCCAAATAATTTCTGAATGCTTCCTGAAATTAGAGAAAAAAATGCTATAGTAAAAGCACGTAAAAGTAAAGACCATTCCAGCCTGACATGAATACCGACTACCCTACCCAATAGCTAAAAAAATCTATTATGACTAAATTATGTAAATAACTACTATTTACATAATTTCAACTATCACACCTAGTCTCAAACTTGTAGAGCTTATCATACATACTCCTATACACTATACATATTAATCACATTTAAGATTTTCCTCATGTTAATGTCCTCATGGCACCCGGGGCGGTCACCCCCCCTTCACAAGTCCTATGGTACCCCCCATGATTTTTGGGGTTACCTACCGATTCGAAGATTGAAAGACAATCGCACCCCCCACCCTCCTCGTATCATGACAATTCATGACATAGACCGCAGATTTGCCATGCAGATGTGCCAGTGAGTACTAATCTGCGCTACTTGTGTCACCCCCTGATGCTTGGCACCCGGGGCGGACCGCTATAAGCCGAAAGTAGCCTCAGCCGCGCCGTCGCCGCGCCTTTGCACTGTTCATACGCACCGAGTAAAACCGCCGCCGCGCCGCGCCGCCACCGCGCCATCAATCAAAGCATAATTTCGCCCGCGGCGCGGCGGCGGTGTTTCACCGTGAAACGGTGCAAAGACGCGGCGGCGGCGTCATGTGCAGGAGCGCTCAAAGATATTTTAAAGCGAAGAAACTTGATAACGTCTTAAAAATTTAAAAATTACCTACTTACGATTCTACTTCTGTATCTATAGACGATGTAGCCCACAATGTCCCTGATGAACGCCAGTGAGACGAAATAGAAGATAACGGATATGATTTTTTCGTCCATGTCGAATATATCCGATTCCACGATCCTGTATATGACCCAGGTGCCGAGAACTCCTCGCACCGCGAGGAAACTCAGTAGATACGTCACCTCCACTAGGAAATATAGCATGGTTGTGTCATATCCTTCGTATCTGAGAAACCTGAAAAAGGGCGGATTCGCAAAATATATTTTTTGCCAGGATATAGGTAATTACTGTGGTATAGTTTTTGTCAGGATTTTTGAGAGTGAGACATTAGCGCGATACTTAATATTTCTGTGATAGATTGAAACTCACAAGGGCGAAGTCGTGGGCAAAAGCTAAGTAGTCTAGCTCTAGGATAAATCCTAAGTAACTTATTAACATTGATATATTTGACCAGCATAAGGGGGCGTCCATAAATTACGTGAGACAATTTTGGCTATTTTTCAACCCCCCCGCCCCCCTTGGTGAGATTTGGTGAGATTTTGCCTGACCCCCTCCCCCACCCCCTAATCTCACGTGATATTTAAAAAATCCGAAATTTAATAGTTTTGGAGTAATGTAACTGTGTTTCAAAGACTATTTTTCGATTTAGGGATCCGTTTGCAAACTATTAAAGTTGAAAGTGCCAATTTTTGTTCGCGTCCCCCCTAAAAACTAGACTAGTTGGCTTGAAAAATCTGGAAAAATTCATAATAATACTGCTTTTTATGAACTTTCAAGAAAACTATAACGGTTAGGGTAGGTCAGTTAGTTTAAGAGTAATAGTCATTTAACTTATGTATTATAAAATTTCATATCTAATAAAAAATCCTTAAAAGAAAATATTAAAAGTGACTTTAGATGAAGTAATTGCTTGCTTCTAAAATATATTTTGTTAACGACGGACAACTACGGAACCTTACACTGCGCGTGGCATGACACGCACTTGGCCAATTTTTTTACTTAAGATTAAAACCCAGTTTTCTGGCAAACTCTATTTCTCTATTTCTTGCGGAAAAAATTACGTGATATTTCCTGAGACCCCCCCTCTCCCCCACGTGAGATTTAGTGAGGTTTTTGTTGACCCCCTCCCCCCCC